CGTGGCTGGTTGATGGCAAGATTGGAGAACTGCGACAGGACCGGGTATGCTGGGAGAGATGGCATAATTCAAGTCCAGAAAGGGACTTCCAACGTCAGTCACCGGGGGAAGACTTAACCACGTCTTAGGCTGCAAGAGGATAAACATAATCCAGGGGGTACAGATGACGAGGAAACAAGGAAGACACAAATGGGGTCACATAAGGGGGGTCCCTTCCCAGAGAGCCGGAAGCTAATGAGCTCCTTGCCAGGGCCCAATTCTGACGACCGGACAACAACATTGCAGACCGAAACTGTTGGTTACAAAGACAAGCGGTTGACTGTTCGAAGGGGGGAAATAGTGATTGAAAAGAGAAGAATCAGGTGGATAAGGGTATCACTCGTGCTCTTTCTAGGCTCAAGTGCTTTATCTGACAGTTCTGGATTCCGGATCTGAGAGGAAAGAGAGGGACAAGGCAAGCTGGCAGTCAATCCTCCCGGGGTGGAGCAATCAATGCTGCTCAGGGGTCCTTCAGCCAGACGGAAGGAAGCGTGTGTGATTGTTAATTGTTGTTGAATATATTTTTGACTTGCCGGTGGAATAGGAACCGGACTGACGCTCCCCAGAATAGAAGGAGCCAGGACCATAAGGCCCTGTTGTTTTAAAAAAAAAAAAAAAAAAAAGGGCACACAAGGCAAGCTTGGTGCCAACTAGCTGAGATAGTCAGCTTCATCCCCCTTATCCAGTACAAGTAGGGTCCTTAGCCAACACGGGTGTGAGGGTGAGGGTGAGGGTGAGGGTGAGGGTGAGTGTGAGTGGGTTCACTGGGTTGTGTGAGCTGTGTGGGAGAGCGTTGGCCTTGGACACTGCTGTGACTCGATGGGGGCGGGGGAAGATGAAAAGGGGGAGGTGCAGCTACTGGCCAAATATTTGGTCTTTGTGCTCGCCGGACCCCCTCTGGCAGCCCCACCCTACTCTCTGACTACTGCTGTTAGGGCAGGGGGCAACACGCAGTACCTTCATTGTGAGGTACCTATGCTACCGTCTTCCCCCGAGCAGAACGTACGGTCATTACAGCCGCGTTTGACTCATCTTTTAGTCCAGATGCAGCAGAAATGACAGTATATTCTATTCAGGAGAAGAAGGTAGCAGGGCTTATGTTGCATACCATAACGGTGCAGACCAGACCAAGAACCGATCTTTCTCGCCAGATACAAGACAGCACAACGGAAGCTTGAATACCAATGATCCGATCAATCAAGCTGCCATGCAGACCAAACATGCATCATCGTCATTCCATGGTGTGAAGGGGGCTGACGCGCACACAGGAAGAATGTGTCAGTCCCAGATCATACACAGACGAAGAAGAGGGGGATTAGACGAAGGGGAAGGGGAAGATGGAAATGTCGTCAACACCAAGTCTTCGATACAGTCCCAAATAATCCCTCGCCAAAGGTCTGAATCCCGATGCTGAGTCTGAACCCCAATGTCGTCAAATCCCAATGTCGCCCATCTCTCTCTCTCTCTCTCTCTCTCTCTCTCTC